TCGATAAAATTTCATCCACACTTAAAGTTCTCTGGAGTTTGGCTGCAAACTGCCTTGCTTTTGAGATTTCCAGGGAAGCAGTGATCTGGATAACACCAAGATTCACAAAATTCTCTTCACAAGTTCAAGAGCCAAAGATTTTAACCAGGATTCAGTGCTGCCCACATTGCCTGTTGAAGCTGCAATGGATATCATTGAGAGCTGTCTGTGCAAAGGACAGAATACAGCTGTTTTAAATTCTGTTAATCAAGATACTCTCTAATACTTCATGCATTGCTGCCTTCCTGAAATAAGTGAAATAATTTTGCTAATTCGTTAATGCCAAATATACCAGTCATACATGCTGAACAATGAGATGAAATGGAACATCAGCTAACGCAGCACCTCCAAGACCCGAAGGGCCTGAACAATGTGATCTTTAGAAAAGCTTATTTTAACCGCTATCATGTTATGCAGTATCAATAAGCAGGAGCTCTAATTGCTGATACTCATGTCCTACAAAAAGAAATGAAGGCACAGATGGGAAATTACTCTCTTCTCTGCAGATATATTGAGAGAAATGACAAATGAAAAAGATTAAACTTCAGGGATAAAAATTCTGTTACACAGTCTTGATGCTAAACAAGTACAACAAAAAGAATGCAAACATTTCGGAATTTCAGTTAATGAAGGAGGATAACAGAAATGAGAGCACTTGGAAAACTGAGTAAAGACATCAGAAGGACTCCAGAAAGTTACGAAAAGAACACTGCTATGACTTTCAGTGCTACAGCTAACTTAAAAGACAACATAAAAACAATATGGGACAAACTCCAAACAGGCAGCCAAGGCATCATGACTAAGCACAGGATGAAAAGAGAGCCCTAATAGGTGCATATCTCATTTTCTCATCTGCATATTGATGAAAGGTATTTTACCTCAATTACACTCAAACATTTTTAAGTTCATGGCTGTGAATCAGATTCATATAATCAAAGAATGGCTCAGGTTGGAAGGGACCTCAAGGATCATCAAGCTTAGACCCCTCTGCCACAGGCAAGGCCACCAACTTTCATATCTAATACTAAACCAAGCTGTCCAGTGTCCCATCCAACCTGGCCTTCAGTAGGAAGGATTTCTTAAATCCTGAACACAGACTTAAAGAATGAAATATGAAATACGACTGTCTCTGGGAAAGAGGTCCAGACTTAGCAGATCTATTATTACTCCTTAATTGATGTTAAAATTCTGATTATTATTCACCAGCTACTGAAAAAAAAAAAAGCATCCTACACATTTGGGTCTAAAGACCAGAAAACAGAACTTTCAGAAATCAAAGCTTGGCCTACTATATGTATTACATGCATACAATATAGTTACAGCTACTACATTATATCACTACAAATATATCTCACTCACTCTTACTGAGCTAAGAGCCACCTCCACTTTATTTATGTTTTCCTTGACAGTGCTGATGTCTCTGTTTCTTGTAGATGTTTTTTCTGAATTGGAGAACCAGTGCAATATGGAAAGAGGAAACTAGGCTTAACTCACCTTTCATCTGCATGGGAACAGAGTTTTATACTTAGAAAATTCACAAGTTAAGAGTTAAATCTATCTACAGATTATTAAGAGAGAAGAATTACAATTCCTCCTTTACAGAATGGTGTCAAGACTCAAAGCCTTAAAGTTTTATTTCTACTTTACTACAGGAGTTCATTTTTTTCCTCCACCATAATTCAATGCAATTCAATTGAGTTCACCCTACAGGGCATATAATTCCCAACAGATCAGGTGGGACTTCAAACTGCCTTGACTTCACCTTTTATTAGTGCAGCTAAGCACAGAAAGATTAAAGAAAATTCTGCTTAAGGATGATTTACTCGACACTAAAGCTATAACCACAATTTATACATGAATACAGCAAAACTATTGTTTACAAGGTAGTTATTTGAAACTTCTTCTTAGGAGAAAGAACACATTGCTGGAAGTCACAGCCAAATTCATTTTCAACTACTGGTTTACTTTGTACTGACTGTACTCCTTTGTCCTGTATGTAATTCATGTTCTATCACAGCTTAAACAGCCAAGAAATACACTGCCTGATATAAACCACTGTACCAACTTAATAAATACATCAATTGTTGTAAATAGTATACATAACTAGTGTAATAGTATACACTAGTATACTACTAATAGTATACATTACAGATTAGTATAGTTTAATATAGGCATACACATATAATTTGAACTTGTCCACAGATAATACAATAAACTGTAGTTGTATCTTCTCCAATCACATGTAGTAAAGTAGTTAAAATATATATGTTTAATAACATCATTTTTAAATAAAGTCTAACATGAGGCACCTATAGCATTCATGTGATATAGCCAAAGAGCATTTTGATACCTCTCCCATATAGCTAATTATACCACTTATTAATTTTAGGGAAAAATACGCTAACTCACTTATCTCAAGGAAATTACATGCACATCTGCTGGAAGTCTTACAGGTTGCTTCTGGTATTGGAGGAAGAGACCTCTAACAAAGAAGAATTTATACACAGTCACTACGCACTTCATATAGCAATTTTTTTCCCTCCACATCAGGATTATTTTTGTTGTTTTAGTTGGCAAATTTTGCTGTTAAAGCTTTGAATAGCCTGAAAATTGCCTTTTCTGTACACTGTCCTCTCTTCATATGCTATACCACAGCTGCAAAGTTCAGCTGGAAAGAACTAAATGGGGAATTATTTTTACAGTCACAAGAGAGTCTGAGATTGCTACATTCAATACTTGTCAATACAAACAGAGGGTAAGTGTAGTATTTGAAAAAAAAAAAAAAAAAAAAAAAAAGGGAAAGAGTAGCTGTGGAAGGAATTCCATTTACATTGCACCTCTATCCATTTGTATGAATACAGAACTTTCAGAATTATATAGAAACACTATCTATTAAATTTACACCATATCTACTTAAAAACAGATTTACTAAAAACATTCAGTGATTGGAAGCAGGGCATAGATAAACAGTGTATCGTCAAAAATCACTCCATTATTTTTGTTAATTTTATTATCAAAGTATGAGGTCCTTATTGCAAACTCCAATAACTACTGAAATTCTGGGAAAGCTTAACAGACTTTTAAGGATTAGCTATTCAGTAGGTGTAACTCCTTTCCCTCACACTAGCTGATGCACAGAAGGATGATGAAGTGCTCTCAAATGAAATTTCTCCCAAGCCACATTTAGTTGCCTAAATAATGATAAGAATGCTGGAGCTTTTGATTTCCAGGCCACCCTAGGGCCGTATTTCTTTAATCACAAGTACTGCTCTGTACTTCCTCCTAAAATATATGCAAAATAAACAGTGCCTAAAATCTGTTCTTACCTCTTTCTTACCTCTGGAGCATCTTGTAGGATGACAATACAAAAATGAAAATATTTCAGGTAATTGGATTAAATTAAAAAAAGCAAAAAACAGATGAATTGCATCGGAGTCAGTGATCTCTTTCTGACCTCCACAATTCTGTGATTCTGTCTTTGCTACCGAACTCCTAAAAAAGCTAATCCTTTTACTTTTTTTTTTTTCCCCATTTTTCCATTCCATAATTTGAAACATTCGTAGAAAGTGTTGAAAGGTTTTGTAGTTCCATTTAGAGCATCTAGACATTAATTGTTTCCATAGAAAACTTTTCTCTTTCCTCAAGTGAAACTTTTTGATTTATTTATTGAGGTCCTTTTTAATGCTATAAACTAAAAGCAGATGAGTAATACAAATTGGACTCAGTTCTTTTTGAATAATCCTAGGAACATCTGTACACTGGTCAAATCATTCACAAGAAGAATATAAAGACAGGAGAGAAAACACAGGTGAGCTAGAATGGAAAAGACATCAATTGAAGGCTTTAGAAACCCATTTGCCTGGTGTATTTTCCTTCCCATCTAAATCAAGACTTTCAGTTTAATCATTACTTTACCTCCAAGTTCAATTTTCAGTGTTATTTCTTTTTCTTTTTGAGAAGCACTAACCACACAAATTCCCCAACTAACACTAATACAGAAACTGCTCGGTCAGTGAATCACAACACATTTATTCATCCTCTCTATTCTGTAATCAAAGTACTTGCCTGAAAACAGAGAATCACAATGTGGCAGGATAGAGAGGTATAGACAAAAAGTACTCCTCAAGCATTTATGATCTTATGAATACCAACTTACCTACATACCTTTCCTGAGCGTTTATCCATTCTCCAAGCATTTTACAAGCTATTTAAGAAAAGTCATGACCTTCTTGTAGCATAGTACCTAGAGAACCCAGTCAGGCTGAAGCTGCATTCAGTACCCAACAATGAATAGAAGAAGCTACACAACTGCTTTTTGTTTTCCCTTCTCGTGGGTTTTCTTGGACTAAGTTCGGAAGTGATTCATGGCAGACTATGTACAACTGCTAGTGAAGTACAATAAAGGGTACTAGTGAGTCGAAAGAAGATAGCCCACACAAATCCTGTATACAGAATTCAATTTCATGAAAGACTACTAAGTTAGTAATAAGGCAAATAGTAAACAACTCTGAAAGGAATGGTCAAACAACCAATTAAAAACCCAAACATATCTGGAATCTGTTCAAATACAGTATATCAGAAATTCCCAAAGCCCTAACTGAATCTATAAAACTAAGAACATCAAAGGAAACAATTCAGAAAAAACATGCTGAGAGGAAAAGATCATGAAAAGCTATTAAAAAAAATCAAGTTAAACAAAGAGTGATGTAAGAAGGAATTTGACAGTAAATTCAACAGTATCACCTGCAGAGGTGTTTGTTATCAGGTAACAACCTACAAAAATTAACCAGTATATAAGCATACACTATAGGGCATAGGCAGGAATAAGTCCTTGAACTCCACAATTCCAGTGACTGCAGATGATGTGAAAAGTGAGGCAGGCTTGCGTGCTCTATGAGAATAGCATTTGTTATCACCATTGTTACAGGTAATACTGATGCACTTCAGTACTCCTCTCTTACCTCATTTTGGAGGTCCCGGATCATTCTGCTCTTCCTTTCCATTTCTGTCTTCAAAAAATTAATCTACAAGTTGAATAAAAATACTGAGTGAGTTTCTGAAACTTAGCTAAACACCACCTTAAGCTTATTTTTTTTCTTTTAACTTTATTCATAGCTTAAAAAAAATAAACCATCCCTAGTAACAACATATCTTGGAAAACTATTGTTTTAAACCAGACTGGTATAGGTCATCACTTCGTGTTTCATGATTAACCTATAAGTGGATACCATGATATTTATTGGGAAACTTAGAATTGAGGAAAGAAAATCACTATGCATAAAACCCCTCATTTGACTTTCGTGCTAGTAGATATAGCTTTCTTTGTAATCAAGTCCATGGAGATCTTCAGAGAACTAAGGATTTTTTTAACAGTAGGTTACTAACAGTCATTAGTCCTAATGAGAACAGATCCAAGCTCCACATCAGGATAATTTATTAGAGTATTGTTCTTCCTTAGTCCTAATTCAAGAGAACGTCAATGCTCCCTCAAAACGTATCAGCTCTAAATCTGGATGAAGATACGGCACTGAATTTATTGACTGTGCTCTCTATACATTTGTATAATCAGTGAATGTACAGACATTATAATTATGGAATATACCAGAGAGTTTGGCTAAGCAGGTTACTATACAATAGAGAATAGATAGAATACTTACTCATGTCCTGGGCTCGACGCAAAACTCCAGAGGAGAGGATCTCCAGAAGAGATCATCCCCCACTCGTAGTCAGCTCTTAAATGGGTCTAGGAGAGGTGGAGCCAGGCTCCACCCCTTCCAGCAGCACAGGTGAATTGCCTTCACCTGTGCTCCCATGGCTGACTCATTGCTCACCTCAGATGATCAATCAGAGGTTCAGGCTATGATTCAGCATTTCCCATACAACATTGCTTGTAAATATCAGCTAGGTGAAGAGACAGTTAATGTAGCCAGCAACTTGCATGATTATCTTCACCAGTCCTCACATAATAATGGACGATAATATTGTTTCAGAATCTCAAGTTGAGAAGTACAATCAGAAAGCAAATAACAGGGCACAAACCCCCTTTCAAGTGTACAAATTCTGCTTTCAGCCTCCAAATCCTGATACATATGAATAGGCTTTTGGGTTTTCCTCTACCAAAGGCATGCAAGCTAAAAAATTTAACTATGAAACTCTCTACATCTTTCCCACTTTCTACTCACTTTTTGTTTGACATTCAACTCTTTTCTAGTGTTGGCTTTCTTTAATTACTATCTAGCTAATTATGAAAACACAATGAAAATGTATTGGTGTTCTAAGGCTGAACTCTACAATGCTAAGCAAGGACACTGCTTCTGTCTCCTGGAGACAGACATTCAAGGTACACAGAGCTTTGTGTGCTTCAGAGCTCATTACGTTTATTAAAGGCAACAGCTTCCATCCAGTAGCCTTTGCTCAACAGCAGAATGTGACCTTGAAATGCTGAAATTAGATTTTCCCCCACTGATATATAGAATGCTTTAGCAGATAGCTGTGATCTAATTCTGAGAGACAGACAATAGTTAGTTACTCATCGCAGAGAAAGGACAGACTAATACCAACACAAAGTCATTACTGCACAGTCAAAGCTCATCTGTACACTTATTTGCTTACCTGCAGACACCTTTTACATTGCCTAGGACTAAGGCAGAAATTATTAAGATGGAACTGAAATACCTTTACTGGCATATCTGTAATACCACTGTTAATATCCATTAACTCTAGTACAGTCAGTATTGATTTTCATAGTCTAATTTTCAAGTTGCACCATAGGAATTGACTCTGAAAGCCAAGAGAATAGGAAGCTATACACACAAGAAATATTCTATCTTTTGATAAAGTGAGAAAATAATCCACAACCTGTTCAATATTTCTGAAAGCAAAGCCAAACACAGTTTATGCCTGCTAGGATTCCTTAGGTGAATTCAAATTTAAATTGTAATTTGTGAATTAATAAAAAACATTTTTGTCATAAAAGCTATTAGCAAATAATATATTTTGAAGTGAAATGGACATCTCATCTTTTTATGAGTTAGTGGTGGTAAGAGATCTGGCAATAGATTTCTCACAATTTAATCCTGCATGTTCTGTTTGTGTTGTATTACTAAGAAGGTCCTAGTGATATCCAATTAACCATATCATTTTTGCTTAGTTTTTAACGTCATGCACAATGAGTTACTTAATTCTAAGTTTTCATAGCAAGCACTAAGCAACTAGGAAAAAAGATTTTACACAGGTGTATTTTCTCCTCTATTTTGACAAATTGGACAATAATACACTGTTAAACTGTCACTGCATCTTTCTAAAAACTGTTAGTGTGATATAAAACAGCAGCAGGAACAAAATGAAAAAGGCATTCTAAACTTAGCCTACCTACCCTACTTTCCCTATTTATTTCCCACCCCCCCCCCCGTTTCTTTGGTAATTTCTCATCTTCATTAGAAAAAACTAGTCCAGCTGGTTCTATACACTCTGATTGAAATTAATGGGAAAGAGCTTTAAGTAGTGGTTCCTTTTCACATATAAATAAAGCAATGGTTTAACTTTTTTAAAGAAATACATTCACTGCAAAGCAACCTATTATAAACTACTACTACTTTGGTATTTAGTACTAAAAAGTTTTACCAACTTTTAGTGATTGCTAAAGGAGACAGCAGGTTATTCCTGAATGTTTTATATACGTATTGTACACCTAAATCCAGTATAGTACTCCTAACAAACTTCATTTTAGAAACACCTTTTGGCAGACAAATAATCCACAGTTGCGAGCTGGCTAGTAGACCAAAAAAGATCTTCACAATTCTAAGCCTTCTGGAAGACTACTTGACCTTGAACTTTGCAACACAGGGCCACTGAAAAATTCAAGCCATCCTCATCAAAATAGTTTTCCTCTGCACTTCTAATCATCTTGCACAGATTGGAGGTAGAACAAGAGATATGAATTTATCATAATCCTGCCATATAAGTCATCCCAAAATAAACTGATGCTCTTTGTATCCTGGTGCTACAAAGGCAGATGACAACGGACCTAGAAAGGGAGTCACTCTCACTCAGGGCCCCCAGTCTGTCCTCAGCACAACTGGAACTGTCAAGAACAGGAATGTGTTTTTGGTTCCTCAAGACTGAACCTCTCCGTCAGTCCTCAAAACAGCTTCAGGAGTTATCCACTGAGCCCTATCACTACCTCAGTAAATCCACAGAACAGCAACTTTTTAGCTGTCCTAATGTCCTTGGCTTCTCTAATATTGAAGAGTTTTTAAAAATTGACTCCAAAGTACTTTTGAAATATTTGTTCAGTCTTTCTGCTGGTGAATAGACGCATTTTATCCTCAGGCACAAAGAAATAAGTGCCACAAATCAAGGACCCAGCACAGCTTTCCTTAAAATCAGAGGTCCATTTAGTATTCTTTTATTAGCAACTTTTAGAACACAGTTCAAGAATTCAATTTCCCTATCTATATAATTAATGAATATACAGATGCTATAATTAAGAAATATACAGGAAAGTCAGGCTAAGTAAGATTATTCCAACAGGAAGATAATAAATGGAAAACGCTTACTGACATTGTAGGCTTACAATATTCTCCACAAAGAGTGATCTCCTGGAAGAGATCCTTCCTCAATGGCAGTCGTTTCTTACATGGGATCTAGAAAAGATGGAGCCATGCTCCAGTCCTTCTGTAGCACAGGTGAATTATCTTCACCTGTCCTCCCATGGCTGACTCACTGTTTGCCTCAGGTGGTCAATCAGAGGTTCAGCCATGATTCAGCAGTTCCCATACACTATCTAACCAGATGACAATCCTCTACTTTAAGTTCTATTATAAACTCAGGGGGGGGTTGTTGTTTGTATCTTGTTTAATTTTCTGTGATAGATTTGTGATCTCCCAAAAGTATTATACTAGGAGCTGAATTTATGCAAAGCACCGTTCTTGAAGCTAAAAAAAAAAAAACATGCTGCATAGCAAAACATAGAGCCAATAATCTCTTCACCTCAGCTGATATTTATTTTACTACAGCCAAGATAATCTTGAGTAACAAACATTATATAAAAATTAAATAACATGTTTTCCACATTTAATTTGTCGGGCTAGAATTTGGTTTGTCACATCAGCTATGAGAATGTATCAGTGCATCTGGAAAGGACAATTAAAAACAACTTTGGAATAGCATGTTTTGAATATGTAGCAGAGAGGATCAGGCCCTAATCTTTTATTTCAGAGTGATATATCTGTTTACAGTACAAAACATCTTCAAAGAAGTGTAGATTTTTTTTTCTATACATATTCTGCTCAAACTATTGAAGAAGATTCAAAATATACCTTATTTTTTTCAGGTTTGGTCAGAATACTACTTGCTTATTTCTTTCCCCTCAAGACTAGATGAGGGCTTTTATTCTCTAGAGAAGCCTACAACTACTAACAATTCAGTAATTATATGCTGTGGAGGAACATTACTTTAGCGTAGTATAGTATTCTACTTTAAGCACCTAACACATAGTTTAGATGTCATGACTACCTACTCTGGGTCAATTTTTCCCTGCAATAACAAAATTTGGCTGTTTGTGCCTTGAATTTATACCTTCCAGTAGTGATAATGAGACCTAGTGTTGTCAAGACTTAACTTTCTCTTACTTACTTCCATGCTGAAAATTAGTAGCAATTAAGAAAAAAAGTCAGTGGCAGTATGACAACATACTTTGGTATAGATGAGACAAGAGGTCCATAAATGTAACCTCATAAGACATAAGGACTTGGGTCCAAATCTCCAAGAAGCTGGATACACACACCTACATCCCACAGAAACTAGTGGAAAAACATCTACATTTTCTGCAACATACCAATTTTATCCACCTCCTTTTATTTGAACCTTACAGAGTACTAATGCATCGGAAATCTTAGGTTTTGTTTTAACATGTAAGACATCTGAGATAATGCAAAAAACTTAGGCGAGGAGGATTTAAAAAAAAAAGATGGAAGAAAAAAAAAAAAGGAAGAGGGACAGTCTCACTCACAGTAGCTTGCTGCTTTTCTGCCTTCTCAGCTGCCTCATTAAGCTGCTTTTGAAAGGCCTCCTGAAGAGATTTCATTTCTTCCCTAGGCATTGAAAAAACAAAACATAAACTTCATCCCAAGAGTCCAGTACAAAATCATTCTTCAGTTTCCAGAGAAGAGTGACAGATGTGTTGCATTTACTAAGTGTCTTGCTAATAAAATTAAAATGACCTCATGAACTATAGTGCCAGTACAAGACAAAAATTTGTTCATGATGGAAATTTAAGCTTATCAAATGTCCTGTTTTGCAAAACATCTGCCAGTATATAGTCTTTAGAAAAAGGAATTGGTGCAATAAAAGCAAGGGAGGTGGACCTGGAAATACATTATAATCAAGAACTACTCATTCTAGAAAGAAACAACGGGGAAACCAATTGAAGATGCTGGAATACAACTGCACAAGAAGATGTAATAATTTGGATGGGGCAGTAGTGGATTCAAGATATTTTTGCATTACTAATACAATCAGAGTTTCTCCAAGGTAATTACAGCAGGCTGAGATCTTCTGGTCATCTCTTTTACCCACAGGTGACACATTTTGGAGCTGCTGCAAAGTACAAGACTGACAAATTTCATAACTTTTGCAGAGCATTTTCAGAGCTGTTGCTTGCATCAATAAAATTTAATGAATAAGGAGCAGCGTAGAACCAACTTTACACTGAGATGATAACTTAACTCAATGAAAATCAGCCAGGAAAAAAAGGCAGCAGGCTTGTACAAGAACAGAAATTATGAGCTGCTCAATCATCTTTTTTTTTTCTTTTTTTTTTCTTTCTTTTTTTTTCTTCTTATTTTATAGCTATTTTATGTTCACAGTTTGGAGAATGCTGGTACAAACAGATTGATCTGAAATAGAGACCGAGCAGCATGAAACCAATGCATCAGCACAAACCAGCTCTATCATTACATACACAAATGCAACCATTCTGAAACACGAACAGTGCACAAAATAACTGACCTTGAGATATCATACTAAATGACCAAATTATACTTGCCAAAGTAAACTCACACTAAGGCAATAAAAAAAAAAATAAAAAAAAATCTAACATGAAATCAGAAGGGCTACATTAATTTACACAAGCTGAGATTCTAGCACTCCAAACTTTACTTTAGAGTTCATCACTGCAGAGCACAATCAAAATGGTGCTCACAGACCAAGTGCAGCTCACATTTGTCCAATCAAATCATGATATATTTTGGATTGTAGATCAAATACAATAGATTCAAGCAGAACAGTATCAAGTTCATCATTCTTCACTTGCTGAACAAGCATAACCTGAATCTGTTGGCAAAGAAAGTGATAAATTCTATGAGGGGGACTTATATTGCTAACAGTGGCTTCTCATACTGCATGTGTCAAAGTAAAAGTGAGAGCCTGTAAATGGCTGTCAAGAGCCCACAGTAGATACAAGCCATTTTCTTGGGGCCTACAATAAAAGCCGTTTATTTTCTGCCGGAAGATGAAGGCTGCTTGGTCTTATGCTGCATACTGTATTGCTCCAGGGTCGGTATCTGTGAGTTGCTGTTGTGCAGAATACCTAGTGGTTGATACACTTAAAAGTCCACATATCAGGAAATTACATTTTATTATACAACTAAGAAATACAATTTTCCCTTAGCAGACTAGGTTTTCCTATCTGCAACTGGGAAAGCCTATTTACTGAATATACTTTTAATTACTAAATAATGGTTTTAATCAGTTAGCATTACTATTTTTATATAAATTACACAACAATCTACCATTGCAAAACCAGGATCATCTATGAAGGACACATGGCAAGAATAGCAGCGATGCTTTCATTATAGCCATGTAACATGTAATTGTTTAAATACTGTACTAGCTGAACAAATTCTTTCATCATTTAACAGATTTATATGGAATATCTGAAAGACTCTTATCTATTCAATCCTTCTCCATGGAAGCAAAATTGAGAAGATCTGTATTGTTTTCTTATGGCTCCAACTTGCTTTGTATTGAAGAACTGGAGGATCTTGTCACAAGCAATCTCAAATCTTCATGTGTGCTTCAATAAATACATTATCAGCAGTAGAAAGATTGAGAGATTTAAGTCATGTATTTCTAGCAATAGCATACTATTACTATTTCTTTGTTTCCAGAGAAAAATATAAGATATGGATGCATTCATTACATAATGCTGTTTCACACAATGTGATTCCTGTAGTAGTAATGTTTACTTGTGATTGAAGTTGTATTAATGCTGTGATTTACCCGTCTGAACTATAATAACAAAAAGAAGTAGGTCAGAGAGTGCTGAATAATGACAATACGAAGGAATAGGAAGTTTCATATTTAAATGTTTGGGAGAAATACAAAATCCTTTTTCTTAATAGATATCTCCCCAACTGATGTCCAATATCAGTTCATATGTCTCATATGTTTCAAAAACTTCTCACAAGATAGCATTCCTTAGCACACCATATTAGGTCTGGAGAGGCAAATCCTGTGGCGACATGGCACCCCAGAAAGGATTGAGTCAGATAATGGGACTCATTTTAAAAATTCACTTGTGGATACTTGGGCCAGAGAACATGGCATCGAGTGGATTTATCATATCCCCTATCATGCACCAGCCTCTGGTAAGATCGAACGCTACAACGGGTTGTTAAAAACCATGTTGAAAGCAATGGGTGGCGGAACATTTAAACACTGGGAGAAGCACTTGGCAGAAGCCACCTGGCTGGTTAACACCAGAGGATCAATCAGTCGAGATGGTCCTACCCAATCCAGCTCCCTACATATTGTAGAGGGAGATAAGGTCCCTGTAGTACATGTAAAGAACATGTTAGGAAAAGCAGTTTGGGTTTTTCCTCCTTCTGGGAAGGGCAAACCTCTTCGCGGAACTGTCTTTGCCCAGGGACCTGGGTCCACCTGGTGGGTGATGCAGAAAAACGGGGATGTTCAGTGTGTACCACAAGGGAATTTGATGTTGGGGGAGTGCAGTCTGTAATCCCATGTGTTAAGCATGATGTAGTGATGTAGAATAAGGGGTGGAATGTCATGGTTTTATGATTTTTGGTCATCGGTATTCCACACCATAACATCATGTAATGCACTGGGGGTGGGGTTTGATATCTGCCGAATGTTCGTCCGTCGGAGAAGAACTACATTTCCCCAAGAGGCTTTGCGGTCAGCAAGGGGATATAACTCCATGCAAGGTCACCTGAGCCTTCTTCTTCGCCTGCGCTTCGCTGTCTGCGCTTCTCTATCTGCGCTTCGCCGCCTGCGCTTCGCCGCCTGCGTTTCGCCATCTGCACTTCGCCGTCTGTACTTCAGTCACTCAACTGGACTGCACTTCTCACCCCAGGATTGTGGTGAGGTCTATACAATTCAAACAGACTCTCTCTCTCTCTCTCTCTTTGTAGTTTACTAATACTATATTTAGTAAAATCATTTGTTCCACCTCAGATCAGTGCTGTTGTTTTTTTCAAGTATTTTGGGGTCCCCTGCTTCCCCTTTTCCAGAGGCGCGGATCCGCAGATCCCTCCGCCCTGCTGGTCACGGAACTGGGCCGGACCAGCCCATAAACCGTTGACACACTGTTACTGCTAGGATCAGTAGACTCCAGACTATGTGAGTGTTTATAATTTAAGGCAAAAGGAGGGACGATGTTTTCCAATATTGTTGCTTTCAGTCTAAAAAGTGAAAGGGAGAAAGTATGCTCTTACCTTTGCTTTTTGCCCAGTTCAAGAAGTTTCTGCACATCTCTTCTGGCTGACGCTTCATCATTTTTCAAAGACTGATAACAAAGGAAAAGAATCAGTTACCAAAGAGATCTTGAATTCTGCTCATTTGTGAAATCACTGATTGGGATCCGTTTTGTAAAAACGCTCCCAGTGAATTGCCATGGGTGAGAAAAGGAGGAACACCTGACTATGCTTTTTACTGTAATTCAGCACTGTTAACTATACATCATTTTGCAGCAAGCACTACATTGCATCCGACTGTGTAAAATAGATTAAGAAACAAACAAACGACTGAAAGCACTAAGGAGGCATGACAGAGATCAGTGTGTGTGTACAGAATTCCAGAGAATTACTTTTGTATCTTTGGATCTCTGAGGTGTTGAATATGAAATACCTCACAACATGATTTTCCTGAGTACTACCTTCAAACTGCTGCATAAAAAATCCCCTTCTAAATTACCTTAGTAAAAAGAAGATAAGTAAAAAAAAAATGCAGTGGGAAACTACTGGTGGTGCTGAGGTGGGGTTGGGTGGATGGAGACCACTCAATGTTCTATAGGGCACCATACACATTAGTTTCAAGGAGAGAAATCTTGAATATAGGAAAATAGAGCACAACAGTATACTACAATACAGTATTGGCACACATTGTCTCTATTGTCCTGTGCAAAGATACAAGGATGCCACTCCTTTTATTTTTCCTATCTAGCTTACATCAACATAAGGGTACATATGCAATGGCATGGAGAATACCAGCCTCTAAAATGCTATGCAATACCAAAAACCTCAGCCAAAAATGAGCCATTGCTAGACTGACAAACAGTCTCAGGCAGACAGGCATACTCTTAAGTGATCATCTGATGATTTCAGTACAGGATCCAGAGCAAGATCTCTACTTTTCATTCTACGGAGCTGATATGATGGCAGAGTTAATCTGACTATTGTCCTTTCAGCCTGCCCACATTACCCAGAAAACCTCCTTAGTTAAAGCAGAAGTGTTCATCAGCTCTGGATGCCTAGCTGCCAGCTCTTCTAACGCTGTCTGTCAGTTAAACTTGTAAAGTAATCCCCTGCAGTAAATCCAGTCAGTTGGTGTAGACTGCATGTCTGCAAAGTAAAGTTAGCAGCTACATTAGGCTTCGTAGGTGCAACTCATCAGCAAAGATGTGGCCTGCAACAGCAAAGGAAATCCTTTCATAGTAGCTGCCACATTCAATGTGTGGGAAGTCCATTATGATTATTCTTTTCTGTTTCTTCTTTTGTTCTGCTACATTTTGTTTGCGCAACATTTTGTTTGTTTTTTGTTTTTTTAATTACCCAATTCTTTTAGATTATGTTTTCCTTGAGACCATCCCTTTTACTCTCAATGCAAGGTAAACAATGCACGCTCTAAAATCAACAAAAACAATGACATTTTTATTTATTAGCAGCAGATAGACATTAGTATGAAAAACACAAAGTAAATAATTCTAAGTCCCAGAAACCCACACATAACCTAACCTGGAGGTTTACTTTAATTCCCTCGAGTTCTTTATAAGTCTTCGACAGCTGACGAAGAATATTGCTCCTTTCCTTAAAGACTTCCTTCAGCTGTCTCTCCAGTTCTTCATAGCCCTGTCTAACACAGAAAACAAAAGCATGAAATCCTCTCAAAACATTCTTCAGTGCACTTCAAGACAGTATTAGATTGCCCAGATTTTAATTAATTAGAACTATACAGTATCTATAGGTTCCAAACTGGAATGTGGAAAGATCTGTCTCTCCATATATACAACAGCTTGTTTTCTCCTAATACAGATCAAGAGATGCTTTGAATGACAAAGTGATGTGCTGCATCTGAGTATACAAATCAGACTGAAAATACTGGTGTATTGTCTATGGCAAGCAGGAGATTGAGCAGATGTATTTAACATGTGTGATGGAATATAGTGTGAGATCTCTCCTGTTCTGAAAGACATCCTGCCATCGAAGTCAAGTAAAACTTGGTATGAAGTTTTTTGTCACCTGATAATTTTGGGCAAGGACAATTCAGAGCTGTTTGAACTTTGCAAGATTAATTTCATTTAAAAATTTTCCCCAAATTAATCCTCACTGCAGTACAGAATAGAGCTGAAAATATGCTAAGACGAATCAAATGCAAATTAATTTATATGGGAGAATGTTTTTTCCTATCACTTCTAAAAACCACAATTCCTACTTAGATTACAAGTGTATTTTCTAATGTTTCTGTAGAAATCCCAAATGATGTCAATTCTATGCTCTATTTTTGGTCCAGTGAAATACAGACCCAACTCTCATATACTATTTCAAGCAAAAAATCCCAAACATCTCAGTTAATTCTAAAACAGCATATATTTTCAGATAAAATCGTTGCCTTGAGGAAGACTTATCAGCAAGCTGGAGCATCTGTTTCCCCTACAAGTGCAGTAGAAACCTTTTATTTTGCTTTGTTTTTACTTTCCTCACAGTAACTCTTTTTATCAAGGGAAAAACAAAATTCAAGCCTGCAACACATGGGTGCTATTTTATGCTCAGATAGAACCATTGAATCCTTAGAGTTGGATGTGACCTTTAAAGGTCATCCAGTCCAATTCCCTGCAATGAACAGGGACATCCACAACTAGATCAGGTTGCCCAGAGCCTGATCCAGCCTTGCCTTGATAGTCTCCAGGAATGCGGTATCCACCACTCTCTGGGTGAGGAATTTCTTACCAGTTGTATTATCCTCATCTAGAAAAGGAAAAACCACTGGTCTTGTTGGGAACCTCTGAGAATGACTTTATGAGCACACAGGGTGTCCATATAAAGAGGTAATATCAGGACTTGGTTATATGTCACCTAAGTAATAATACATCAGAAGTAAATGATCCAGTATAGGTCACAGTTCAATTATGGATTTACAAGAAAATCCATACACCAAGGATGTGAACCTTTGAATATACAATGCGGCATTTACACCCCACAGTTTAGTTCATGTTTTCTCAAGCTGAATGACAGAATATACTGCTAGATGAATTAAACCTAGCTACTGCAAGAACGCTTGGTAAATACTAGCAGTCTAGTTGCATGCAATGAAAATAAAATCTCCAGCATTAAGTTTTATGTACAAACACTGACAGTTTTTGTGACTGCCCCAGCTATCTGATTTTTTAACTAGGAATATACGATGGTCAGAAAGCTATCTCATCTCAGTGCTTCAGACAACATTATATAAAACTAGCATAATGAGTTTCAGAGAATACCCTCATTTTAATTTGATAACTAACAGAGGTCAAGCAGGAATTTCCTCCTGCTATGGGGTAACAAGGCAGTTTCAGTAAGGTCACCACTTCCTCCTTAAGCAGCACAATGCATGTATTGACCTCTTGCCACTGAACTGTCATGCTTTTGTTTAAAGTAAAACCTTGCATTAAAAAATCTGTCCAAGTGGTAACACTGTCTTAAATAATCACTTCCAATTAAAGACCCAAAAAGACCTGCTCCCTAGCCCCCTCCCCCAAAATAATTCCATTACACATGTATTAAATCTGTTATCTGAATTTTAGCTTACAACACTAAATATTCAGCAAAATGAAGCATTATTTCCAGCAAATCTATCTGAAACTAGAATACTAGAGCAAATACTATAGCAAACAGATTACAGGAAACATTTCAACAGATTATAAATTTTGGTGTAAGAAGGAGAAATGTCTATCAACTCCATCTCTCCATCACTACAACTCTGACTACTATTTCTTCAAATATCAGAAGTTCAGCTTTTAGTCTTCAAAATAAAGATCAAGACTTTTCCCTGAATAACATGTACAATGGCAGGACAAAGGAAAACTGATTTTGTTTCCTGAGAAACAAAAGTGAGAAAAAGATTCATATCAACATAACTGAAAGTTGAAGAAAAGAATCTCTAAAATGAGTGAACTTGAGATAGAAATCATTCACGACAATAGAGCATCACATCATTGCCTTTTCTCTATATAAATATGAGCATTTTTAATCATGAAGTTCAGGGGGAGGGGGGTTACTGACAACCAAGAAACAGAATGAATAAAACATGCAATAGGTAATACACATAATACAGTATCAATATAATATAGTATCATCTAACCTCAGCTTCAACTATATTTATAATTTCAGTCAATTCTGAATCAGTTGACCTGTGGGAAAAAGTCATATAGGCATTTTACTGAACAAGAGATAAGCCCTTGCTGAAATACAATCTGCCAGATATAACCGCTTTGCACACTCAAATGGCATTTCCATAATATGTTCTGTATTCAGCCATTATCTAACCACTGTGTTTCAGGCTGAAGAAAATACATTATACTAAAAGGAACATGAAAAATTTGGGATTTAGGGGAACCAAGGAACATTTTTATTTACCTGTCCTCCATAGCTTGTGTACAAAATATTTGATTGAATGTTTCCCCTCTACCTACTGAGAATCACGCACAAGTATGTAGTTTATTAACTACTCAGAGAAAAAATCCCTTAGTCAATACTTACATGAATTCTAAACAGGCTTAAGCATCCTACGTATTTTAAGTGCAATAGCCCACAAAATGGTTGCAGCCCAGATGCATTTTATTGGATTTTTCCACAACTAGCAGCTAGAGAATCAGGCCCTTTGCATCCACTTCCTCTGACTTGTTAATGCATGCACTCTAAATAAAACAACACCAACCTGGCTTCGCTTTGGCAGACCCTTGGCTCTGTAGAATCAGTAACCCACCAGAGAAAGCACACAACTGCCAGTTCCCACAAAAGGAGCAAAAAGAGACTTCTGAAAACTTGTACTTGGCATAAAACAAGGCTCCGAGAAATAGAACAGCAAGTTATGTGTTTAACTTGATATTGAGAATAACGACTCGGGAAAAAAAAAACCCAACAACTTTCATTGATCTACTTTAAACTGCATAGGTCACGAAAAGTGAGTTAATGTCACGAGGAAGGACAGCACAAAATGTTGTGATTCCACACTAAAATAACTTTACCTAGAGCAATAAATCCTTACTGAATTCATACAAATGTAATAAGGAGCAGGCACATAAACCTTCTGAAAGCTATTAAACTCTGCACAACTACTCAAATACTGCATAAATATAGACTTGTCCTCTGCATGAAAACTTTGCCTTTCACATCAGTTCAATAGGATTTGGTCTTCAGTAGGAAATACATTCACACTAAAACCTTTCTCTTTTTGATAGGTAACATTGCAATTTTTCAGTTCTGATATTCTTCATCATTTATATCCGCAACACCGCATCTACCTTTGTTTTCTACCGCAAATCTTTGACTGTGACCTCAGTGTTAATACCCTCAAATACACAATACATGCAGTAGACTTAGCAGATAACCAAAACCACTTTCTTCCAATAACTCTGATTAAGTCAGGTTAACATTTCTGTCTGTGAGCTATGTTAAATTCTCTACTTACTGGCTATGAGTACTAGCATAGCACGCACATATCTGTCTGAAAGAGACAATACATCACAAAAAAGCAACTTCTGTACACAGATTGTTATGAAAGCTACATCAGAATGGAAGTATACCAAGGTTCTTATCTTGGTTCCCAGATATTGGTAGAAAATTTCTCATTTCAGTTGGCTCTTATGGCATTGCATCTTTAGTCTTCCAAGACTTCCAGTCTTACCCTTATCCAGGGCAATCCTGAATCTCTTTTGGATTCACAGCAAACTTTTCAAAACTAACTGTGGGTCCAGGGTAGTCTGGCTGTGGTAAGCCTCGTTGTTTTGTTGTTTAAACTCTTATATCCTTATAATGAGTAGGTCACCTGCTCAGCAATTCCATCAGCAAATCTGTCCCGCACATGCTCTTCAACCTATTACAGTGGCAACAGAGCTTTAAACGGAATAGACAGAAGCAATTGCATAGCTCCTTTTCTGCCAGAAAGGCAACTTTGAACAATTTCACGTCAAATTTGTCTTTGAAGTATCAAGCCAATCTAACTTTGTTCAGTCCACTGTGAAAACAGATCATCATCTCCAAACACTACTACCCTGTCTGCTTGTACAAAATACAGGATCATGCACTCTACAGCACTTCACTTGGAATATTTCAGACTTATTTCTTCAAAATCCAGAAAGTTCTGTTTTGTGTAGAAACCATTTTCTCATAAAGCTGTGTTTAACAGGAGGGTTTTATTCTGCTGAGAACTGCTGAACTTGTTGGTGTTGCTGCTATAACATGCATTTTTCTGCAACAGAATCATTAAACATGCTACATTTCTCAGAAAACTCTCGGGCATCTATGACAAAACCTGCAGGCATTTTTCTCCCTTCCTTCCACTAGTATTTTTACCATGTTTACTTGTTTGGTGCATAAAGCATTTCATAAACACTATTTTTGTGTTCACCATGGATTTTCCACAGCACATCACTTTCTGAATGATCCAAAATCTGGAATGAATTAGGTTTTCATTAGCATAAAAGTCCTTAGTGAACAGTGTCATAAGGTGAAAAGGGACACTAGGAAACAAGACACTAAAGAGGACTGAGCATGGGAGAGGCTGCAACAGAAGAAGTATTACAATCCAAGCCATACACAGCCAGTAGCCTATATCAAGGCTCACCACACTAAATTCCAATTGCTTGCTACATGCAC